AAAGCCCTTTTCGCTTATTTGGTAATTGATGCTCTACTCTTTCTTATTTTTATTTTTGTAGAGACAGTCTCACTTTATTGCCCTCAGTAGAGTGCTGTGGCATCACACAGGTCACAGCAATCTCCAACTCCTGGGCTTAGGTGATTCTTTTGCCTCAGCCTCCCGAGTAGCTGGGACTACATGTGCCAGCCATGACGTCCGGCTATTTCTGCCACCCTCAGTATATGGGGAAGGCCCCTTATCCACTGAGCTATAGGCGCTGCCCTCTACTCTTTCTTTAAAACCTCACTCTAAACCCATCTCCTCCAGAACACCTTTCCTGAGTAACCCTATATGTTTGATTCCATTGCAAAATGCTTGAAGCACCCTTAAACTTATGTGTCCTTTAATAGATAGTTTTTCTTTTTTTTTTTTTTTGAGACAGAGCCTCAAGCTTTCCCCCTGGGTAGAGTGCCGTGGCATTACAGCTCACAGCAACCTCCAACTCCTGGGCTCAAGCGAGTCTCTTGCCTCCGCCTCCCAAGTAGCTGGGACCACAGGCGCCCGCCACAACGCCCGGCTATTTTTTGGTTGCAGCCGTCATTGTTGTTTGGCGGGTCCGGGCTGGGGATTCGAACCCGCCACCTTAGGTGTACGTGGCTGGCGCCTTAGCCGGTTGAGCTATAGGCGCCGAGCCTAGATAGTTTTTCTTGCAAGTATTTCATCCTATTTGGCCTGGGAGCTCTCCCTGGAGGGGAGGGCTGAGTCTACAGTCAAAGAACTAATTTTCCATTTCCTTCCTTTCAGGTTCTACCTCCTCTGATGAAATCTATCCCAGGGGTCTAGCTCCCACCTGAGATTGCAGCTATCTTCAAGCCTGATCATATTACTTCTGAAGTTGAACCAATGATAACACAGCAAAGCCCCAGATAGCTGTATCCTACATCAGAACCCCTCCAGGGCCCCAGAGTACATACATGCCTTCATCACATGCCATATTCTTAAGTAGCTTGTCCTCTCCCTTATTTAAATAGAGAAACAAAGGCCCATAAATTTGATCAGAACTCTGGGCCTTATTTAAAGTATTAGAAATAAATGAAGCAGAGAAAACAAGCAGGGGCTTCCTGGTAATGTCATGCTCTTTTTCTTGACTTGGGCAGTGGGTAGATGAGGTGTATGTTTTGTCATCTAAGCCGTACCTACATGTTTTCAGGCAGTCTCACATGTATGTTTCACAATTTAATTCAGCAGCACCTCTCCCACTGAAGGTGAGCAGTATTCTGTTAACTGCAAGATCCCTTCTCCAGTGGGCTGTCAACAGGCATGTTGAAGGAACATGAGCTACTCTGCAGGGCTGGACCACCTGTGACAAACAGTAAAGGTGGTGAGCCAGCAGGGAGAACCATAGGATTCACTGGTGATTTTCTCTCGGATATGTGGCTTCTAATGGTTTTCCCAACTCCTCACTCTGAGCAGGCAGGAAGACCAGTGTACGGTGTGAAAAGAAGAACATGAGTTGGAATCCAAATGAATCTTGAGTCAAAAGTGCTTCATTCAAACCAGAATAGGAATAATGGAAGTTGGGGCTCTCTCTTTTTCTTCAGGGAAAGATAGAAATCTCTGGGGAAATTATTGACAGGGGATTTCGTGAGACAAAAGAGAACCTCAGGGGAAAGCCCCTGGCCAACCCATCCCAAGACCCTTCCTTTCAGGAAAGGCCCAAGGGGTGGGAGTGATGGTGGGGAGGTCAGTGATTTCCTCCCCTGCCTGCAGGCTTCCACCATCATAGGTCAGAATCAGCTCACTCTTACACTCGGCCACTCATCTAGGGCCTCAGAAATATGCTCCCACATGCCATATTTTTGAAAGGAATGTATGTTCCAGGTCTCTTTCTGCAGTTTTCCCCTAAGCTCCTTTTCCTTCCATTCTCATAGGAGGGAGGTTTTCTTGCTGGAGAATTTGGGTGTACTTTTGGACAGCCAACACTGTGGCCAGCAACCCTAGCATCTCCTTCTAAAGAGCAGGGAAGCTGGTAGGAGCAAAGGACTGGATAATGAGGACAACTGAATAAAGACATGAACTCAGGGGGTTAAACTGGAATCTAAGCCATAATGGCTGGGGAATGTGGCTGTGAACTGTTGAACTCCTATGGCAGAAATGTCTGCTGAGATCATCCCCAGAAGGTTATATGGGTGTTTGGAGCAGTTGAGAAGACCCCCCAAAGTATGTGCATGAGCCTCCTGTGGGACGATGTCTATTTTCATGTTATTTTTCAGTAATAGTTACAGGTTTTAAATTTCTGCTTAACTATTTTTCTTTTCATTGGCTCTTCCCACCCTATAATCACAGATCCCAGGCCACTATAGTAGAAATTTACTGTGTACAGTAAGATGTTCCACAGTGCTCAAGGACCAGAAAGAGACCACAGGAGCCTCTGAAACCACTGGCTGTCACTAGTTAAGCATCATTCAGATCTATTATACAAAGACAAAAATCATCTCATCTTCCCCTGGCCCCCCAACCTCTACAGAGGTGGTGTAGACAGAGTCTCTTATTGTTGTCCCTTTCTCAAGATGACTTCCTCCAATGCACTTAATTTATCACGGTGCCTGGAGCTGTCACAAGAAAATAGAAGTGGGACTAAGGGACCAAAAGTTCTTATCGCCAAAGTTTAAAATGAAAACAAAAGCAAGCCAGAACTGCTTATCGGCCTTGGCCAAACACAGGTGTCGGAGTAGAGGGTATTAAAAATTAAACTTGTCCTTTTCTAGTCCCACCACCCATTCTACAACAGGTCAGCGTCTACCACCCAGAGCCCACAAGGGACTTTTTCCATCATTGGAAAATGGGGCAAGCATTGGAAAACAACTTTTCCAGCACAGGAAAACAGGTCTGGACACACTCCAATATTCCTAAACCCTTTCTCCAGCAAAAGGCACAGAAAAGTTGAGTGATTTGCCTGAGAACACACAGCAAATCATATCACGCTGGCTCCCAAGTTCATGTCTGGTTGGGAAGTCCCTGTCCTATAGTAAACATGCTGTAATGAAGCAGAGATAAACAGGAAAAGGCCCCGCTTGTTTCCCTGTGCTCCCTCAAGCAGGTAGCAGCTAGCCTTTCTCTTCCTGGGTTCATATTACTGTGCTCGACCTCAGTGGTACATTTTCTTAGGGGACATTGGGGGGGGGGGCATCTCCTTTTCTTGTGCTTGATTTCAATTCTGATTCAGAAGTTCAGCAGTTGAATATCAAGTGTAGAGTTGTTATTGCTGTATCTGGCCCAATCAGAATGAACGCATTACCAAAAAGGAGAGAAAGAGAGGAGGGTGGTAATGAAGGAGCTTAAGGCAACCTTATCTACAGAGACACTGCAGCAGCTCCCCCAGCCCCCACCAGACCACTTTTCCTTGTAAAGTCAACTGGGAGAAATTAATGCAACCAGCAGTCTCCACTGCTGGCCTGAGCTACAGAGTGAGGGAGTTTCTAAGGTTGCTTCTCATGGACTCAGGTGAGGGTCCTGTCTGGGCAAATAGTCAGAACTGCTAGCCAGGCTCATCTGGACTGACTCAGAATGAGGCTGAAGTCTGCGGCAGAAAGCTTGCCTCCTTCCACAACAACATTAAAAGGACCCCTTTCCCCATACTATCTCACTAAAAACAGGAACTACACCTCCTGACCACATGGGGTGGACTTGAGGGTGACAGCTAATAGACACCAAGGACTCCCTGGGCCTAATTAGAGCACAAGCTTCCTGGCCAGAATCTATTAGTACTGCTCTTTAGATGTAAGGCTAGCCACGAACCTCTGAAAAGAACAACAAGAGAACCAGAGCTCAGATTTGAAATAATGACTACAAATTTTTAAAAGTACACAAGTCCCCCATTAACCCTTCCCAAAGAACACAGACAGGTAACATACGGAGGTTTGAGCACACACACTCACCTGTGCTTTGACTTCCTGACTCTGAGCTGCTCAGGCCAAATGAGGAATGTCATTGGCTTATTCTGGGGAGCTCCTTAGTGGCTGCTGCCATAGGATACAGGCTTTATTTAACGCAAGGGAGTCCTTTCTGTTCCCCTAGCCCAGACCCTGCACCCTCTCTGGAGAGAATTCCCCTGAGGCATCAATCTCCAAGACATCTAAGTTCCTTCCTAGGGCTGACATCTCGCTCAGTCCTGCCGTGAGCTGGCTTCCGAAGCCTGAGCCTGCAGTCTCTGGGGCAGCTCCAGCGAAGGTGCATTATTTATCCCAGCTGCTGTTTTAATTGATACAGAGATATATCCAATACAGCTCGCCAACTGTCTCAGCAACTACAGGCCGGAAAATAAACAGTTCCATGTGGACAGTCCTCCCCATTCTGGTTCTATGCCGGCTCAGCGTGTGTGCAACTTGAACTGAGGCCCCAAACCAGCCCCAGCACTGCTCAGCCACCTGTCAATTCTCCACCCTGGGGGTTGGTTCATCAGTCAAGCAAAGATCTCCAAGCACTAGCTTAACCTCTGGCTCCACCTAATGGCAACAAATCCACAGCCCCCTTTCACAGATGGACAAACTGAGCTTCATACAGGAAGGTGCTCAGAGAACACAATAAGAGAAGACTAAATGAGCAAAAGAAACGAATGGTCACCTGCTAGGCTTCCCACTCTGCAATTTTCTTCCCCTGCCATCCTACAGGAGGAAAAGCGATGTCAACTTTTTAGTTAGCATCTTGGATTTCTCCAGCTCTTTGTCTGGGAATAGCACTCCATACATGTTATTCAAACAATCTCGGAGGGGTGAGTCACTAGAACGTCTGCTGAATAATGGGGAGCAAACACAGAGGCCTGGAATTGAGCTGAAAGAGGCACAAACAGCAACCGGCGGCCCTCCAACCCCACCCTGGGGTTTGAGCCCAGCATCCGCTCATCCTCTCTGACCTTTGCATGGCTTCTACCATCACTTTTATCCTGTTAAATCACTTCTGCGCCAAGGGGCGCAAGCTAAGTCCTGGACTGGGCTTGCCAGGGGATAGTCTGCGCTCACCTTTAAATCAGGAGGCTTGCTTCGGGGACCTGGGTTGGGCGCCGGGGCTGCGCTGGCATCTGAAGTTGGCCCGCCAGCAGAGTTAGCACCCGTGGCCTCCCCAGGCCGGAGGTCCGCGCCTGGCAGGTGGGAAGTGGCTTCTTCCAGCCCAGCTCCATCCTCCTCGCCCTGTTGTTGCTGCAGCTCGTCCGATTTACACCTCTTCATGGTGTATGTGGGTCGGCAAGGGGAATCTGTCCTTCCAGCGCGCGGTCTTGGGGGAGACCGCACCCCCTCTTACACTCAGAAATGAGGCCTTGGGGTCTAAATTATTAAGAAGAAAGGGAGTCGGCAGAACACAAATTCTTGAGTTAAAAAAAAAGATCTTTTTAAGAGGATGAGGGAGGGGCGAGGAGGGGGAACCTTGATTACAGCTTGGAATAGTTCATTACGACCTGGGGGGCGAAGGCAGGTCACAGTCGAGGCTTAGCAGCGGGAGTCCTTGGGCAGTCATTGGAGGAGGGAGCAGGGGGACAACCGTCGGCCCCCAAACTTTCTGCTTCAGGGCATGGGCAGGGCGGAGGAAGGCTGGGCGGCACAGCGCATCCCTCCCGGCTG